TAAGCAGGGTCTTTCTGCCTGTCCCCTGGCTACTGGGTGAGTGCTTTAAGGTTCTGATGACAGAATCAAAGGAATATTTCTCTATGGAGCAAGTCCCCAGTTGTCTTAAGAGTTACATTTCAAATAGACAGGGGACAGTGAAAGATGGCACCAATCAATACCTGCGTATCACCTCTGGATTCCAGGTGATGCATGGAACCAGGCCCAAACATTTGTAACATCTCTCTGGAGGAAGTGAGGGCCATTTTCACTCCCATACCACAGGAAATACACCAGGCAACTTATCATGTGTCCGCTCATTTGCATGCCCCATAGAGGAGGGCCAGTATACAGTCGGCTGCCACCTCCTTTCTGCCTCAGCAGAACAAAGGTTGAAGGTCCCTTCTTCGGTAGGTTCCAGCTCAAGCTGGAGCCTCCTGCTACAGACAAGAGGGCTCCAGTGGGGACAGTACACAAACCACATACCTTGGAATAACTGCATTAGTGAATGGTGATGTTCTGTGACTAGGCTTACATGGGCATGAGGCTGATACCTCCTTTTCTTTCAAGAAGCCAGGGGTAAGCGTCTCTTTAGTCACCTACGTTATGATGAACCCGCAATCAGTGCTTGCTTGCTTGCTATCTCAGCAATCTGATTTCCTAAACACTGATTATTACTATTATCATTCCTGAGGACTGAACCCAGGGCCTCCCGCAGGCTAAACACACTACCATCATTTCTCTTTTCTAACAACCTTTGAGGTTAGGGCGATCTCTACCTTACAACCAAGGCCAGGTAGGGTGGGTAAATAGGCTGAGACTTCACAGCTAATCAATGGTGGGGCAGGGATTTCAACCCAGGTAGGCTCTCTCTGTGGGTCCTTCTTAATAGAGATATGGTGGACTTATGCTCCCCATTGCTCTCTGCCCTTGGAGAGGCCACTGAAACCCCGAAGCTTCTCCCAGGATGGCTCCCAGCCTCCTTCCATGTTGTCCTTTCCACACACATCAGCGGGGCTGGCAGGCCTTTGGCACCTTTGCTCCCCTAGGCCACCCTTAAAGATGCAGCTGGGATCCCTGGGATCCATGGTACTGACTTGCCAGCCAACTCCTCTTCTTTCTCCAAGAAATTTCCACCACACTGCCTTTGCTCTTCACCCCATTAGGTGCGGTACCCATAGGCAAGGGTTGGGTTACTTCATGTCTTTGTGTTTCTGGAAACCTGTGTCCTTCAGAATGCTAGATATACACCAGGTATTCACTAATTCTGTCTAATTCAATAATTCAATTAACAGATTTTTGTTTTTTTTTTTAAACAGAGACAGGCAAGACCAGGCCAGGATGTTTCGAGGCTGAAGTGCGGTCCCCAACCTTTTGGCTTCTCTGAAGCTTACCTTGTCTCTCACTGCTGAGCCTTCCCCATCCCCTGACCGAGAGAGAAAGGGGACCTCAATCACTGCTGGGTGAATGGTAGGAAAGGGCGTGTTGGGGATGGCTAAATATTTTTCTGCTCATTTGTCAGATCAGCCAGCGTGGAGTAGAGTCACTGCTCACTTCACCTGCAAGGCAAGGATGATAACAACAGATTGAATCGTGCTGTCCACAGCAGCCCGCAAGTCTCCACAACCTAAACAGGAAGTGAGAACAATCTCGGAGAGACAGCCAAGCCAGTCCTCGGCAGCTCCTGTCCTCTTTTTGTGAAGGGAGAGAGAACTCGAAATGAAGAAGGCAGAATGAATCGTTAAAGACACAAAATCCCAGAGACAGGTGGAGCAGGCAAACACAGGGAAGTTGTTGGGGGGTGGGGGTGGAAGGTGACGGGGGGGGGCAGGAGACCGACCCGGGTCACCCCTGGCAGCTGGGTCTCTTGCACCTGCACAAATGACTCGAGTCCATGGGAGGCGCCTCCTTCCAGCCAAGCACCTGGCTCACCTGTCCACTGAGAGGGCAGAAGAGGACAAGGACAGGTAGGGTGAATTGAGAAGGAGAGAGAACGCAATGCCAAGAAACCCAGGCAGGCCCTTCCCATCAGCTACTGCCCGGTGTTCTGGGCCCCCAAGCAAGGTCCCGAGGAAGAAGCTGGGGTCAGAGGCTGAGGTGTCCATTAAAAACTCCATCAAGAGATTAAAGGATCACTTCGTAACATTAATTTTTTTTTATTAAGAAGACAGATATTTTATAGTACTTCTTTTTTTTCTTTTTCTTTTTGTAAAAATGGTATACATGAACCAATACAAAATGCGAATGGGAACATATGGATATGGAGTTTCTTACACTATAACATTGCCCATGTACACCTTAAAAACAGAACTGGCCTAGAGGGAAAAGTAAGACGTCGGGTGTGACTAAAGAACAAGCTTATTTGGCATCAATTGTACATCCTTCATTATTTTATATTCCTTTAAAAAACACGAAAAAGAAAAACAAGTTTGTTCTTTCTTCACTCTAAAAGAAGTGATCAACCTGTACAAAGTAATACTCAACAATACATTTCAAACAGTGCACTGTATACTTAAGAAAAAATACATAAACCAATATACAACTAAAATCCGTTAATTTCCTGTTTTTGCTTTGTTTTATCATTATTATTTATTTTTCCAATGTGTGGGGCCTACACTTTGCAATCTACCTGAGACGGAAAACACCAATCGAAAACACATGAACCTGAGACATGTCAACATTGTAAGCCATAAAGTTACATCAGGAACACTGCACTACTGTACACGTTTCAAAAACAGAAAGATGAGAGCTCCCAAAAATGAGATGTCAATTCTGTGAGCAATGGTAGTTTTTTTTCTTTTTTTGGTTTTTATCTGTTTTTATGGTTTTTTTTTTGTTTTTTACTATTTTTTTTGTTTTTTTTTGTTTTTGTTTTTCTAAAAACAACAACTGAAAAAACCTTTCAACAACATGCTAAATGGTTCTCACCCTTTGACATGATTACGCTATGGTGGGGATAGGTGCTATGGGCTCGGAATAGAGCTGCACATTATAAAATTTATTGAAAAAGGGATGTTGGTTGTGGCTTTTTCGTCTTGGTTAATGCCTAGGGATAGGAGAGGGGTAAACAAAATGCTGCTCGATAATGGATTTTCTTTTACATACCAGACCGTTCCCAAAAGGCCCCCAGATTGCAATGATTCTATCAAAGGTTAAAATAAAGACAAGAAAAATAAACACGCTTTCAAATAACAAAGAGTCGACATTTTTCCCCCTTAAATAAATCAGCATAAAGTTTTCCACATAATGTAACAATAGTAAAAATGCACCTTGCAAAATCCAAAAGTACTCACTGAAAATGTTATATAATATATATTTATATCTATATATAGATCTATCTTTTTTTTTTTTGATGCCATCTTTCCATACGGACTTGTTATCTAGATTCTGGAGCCTAACCAAAACATATGGTCAGAGTTTAGTTTTCGTCCTCCGGGACTACTTCTAGATTTCCTAGACATTTCAGTGAAAATCCCCACCTCGCCATAAAAAGAATGGAAATGGAAACTTGACTCCTCTACCCTTTCCTAAGGCTCCCGCATCCAGGATCTGTTCAAGGTGACTTGTTTTAGTAGCTATGTACTATGGCTGTCATCATGCGTCATCAGAATTTTTTTTTTTTTGGCAGATGGTTCTTAAGGCTGAGGAAAGAGGCCAAGGCTAGTGTATGAAAGGTAAAAAGATAAAAACACTCACATTTGAGTTTTGATTAAGTAACTGAAAACCCCTACATGCTGTTTTTTCCACCTCTGCTCTGACCTTTCGAGAACTGAGATCGACAGCAGACCAGTGTGAGAACAATACCGGCCCTTCTTTTGTACCTCTTTGCCTTTTGTCAAGCCAAATCTGAAGGAATGAAAGTTTCACACGGATTCGAGTTGGAAATCCCAGCATGACAAATATCTGTAATATACAGTACATCCAGGCCACATCCTACTGCCTTCCTAACTAAGCATAAAGGAGAAAAAAAATAAACAACACAACAAAAAACCTGTTCCATTCACAGTCATTCGTACAACACACGGACTTGCTTTTTCCTACAAATTAGTTGAGAAGTAAGGCCAATTGGGAAAGGTGGATGGAATCTTTTGGAACAGAAATAACCAGAGCAGAACTGTCTCCCCCCCCCTCCCTATTTTCCCTCCTGTGGCAACTCAAATTTGTCCACTTCTATAAAAGGGACAGACCTCACCTGTCGGGTCTGTTTAGGGCACTAAGAAAGGAGGCATCTTTCCCGCCCCAAATCTTTCTGGACAGTGTGGGGTATCTATACTGAGCCGTCTACAGATACAGAATTAAAGACAGATTCAATCTCATTGTGACACATCTCACTTGCAGACAACCCTGTACAGTAATGTAGTTCCACAGCAAACAGAACGGTTTCTGAATCACAGTCTAATTTTTCTAGTCTTCACTGCTCTAAGTATTGAAAACACGGGCAGCAGCAAAGAGTTATCATTGTTGGTTCACCCAAATCTTCACGACAACAGAGAAGAATGCATTATGGATACACTAAATTCTGAACTATGAAATCTAAAACTGTGCTGGTTCTCCTTTTATAAAACTGAATTTGAGCAGTTACCTCAAAATAAACCAAAGAAAGGAAAAAAAAAAAAACCTCAGAAACAAAAACAGGAAGGAAAGAGTCTTAAGGAATCCCAGCAGGTAAATTCCAAAATGGGAGATTTTGGGGAAAAAAACAAGAACCAAACTGAAACAAAAAACACCAACCCCAAAATCTAAAAAATGTGTAAAAAGAAAAAGGAAAAAAAAAGGAACAACAAACAAACAAAAAAACAAGGCACAGAATTTTCTGCAATCTACTGAAATGAAACCCAAGTACCCAATTTGACTTGGTAAGAAGAAATCAAAAATTGAACAAATAAAAAAGAGGTGTCAAACAGCAGAGTGTACTTTTCAAAGAACATTTTTTTGTCTTTTTTTTTTTAACATAGCAAATCCCAAGCCTTCCCAGTCTCGCACCTTGCCACCCATTCATAAAAAAACACACGAGTTTCTCGCAAGTTCCAATATCACTGTCTCTTTATCATCTAAATAGGGCCAGTTGGACACCTCATTGAAACAAAAAGGCTGATCTAGATGAAGTACTCTTTCTTTTCTTCCGAGTTGTTCTGTCCTCCTTCTGCATTGATTATAGCTGTGTCTGCGTCAGCTGCGTCATCGGCTCCCTTGGCTTCATGAGTGAAGTATGTACCTGAAAGATGAAGGGGTAAAGCACCGTGACTGTCTGATGGCCGCTGTGTAACGTGGTACAGAGATGGCAACTTGCTTTATGGCCATCATCAGGCGAAGTGGTGTGCAGGCAGCAGAGGGGAAAAAACAATTGGAAGGAGAGAGCGAGGTGGGTGAGACAAATGGGGATCCGGGGGTTCCAAAGGCACCACTCCAACTGAACCGCTGCGATATAATTCAGCAAATGAGACATTAGAGCAGTGATTATGACCAGAGGATGTCAGCAGAAGAAGACGTGAGTGGGAGCTAAAAATGCAGAAAGCTGGAGAGCCGCTGACTAACGCATCAACAGTAAACACCAAGGACCAATGACCAGAGATGTGCACGCACGTGGTTAAAGACCAAAGCAAGGAAGAGCAATTAGCCAATAAATGAATTAGGGCCCTGATGATGCCTCTGCTGTCACCTTCAATCATGTATTCAGACCATCACCTCCTGGTGTCATGAATCATTATTGGCTACCCACAGGTGAGAATGTGCTTGAACTTGCACGAGAACTTTGGATTTCCTATGCTTTCCATTTCAGAGTGGGGTCCCAGATCATTCTAATGGCTGGAAGGAAGGCTGGGATGGGGTGGGTGGTGTGTGTCTTGTCTCTCATCTAACCCGGACCCAGATTCATGGATTTGCTAATTGGCACAGCCACTTTAGAATGACAAGTAGACAGAACGTTACAGAGTTGGTGACACTCTTTGTCGCCAAGTCCCAAGGGTGCACATGGAGAAAGACAAGGATTGCACCTCAGCATCATACGTAGGGAGAACTTCAGACACTGGCCGGGCATAATTAGATAGCCCCTTTCCCATTATCTACTGTTATCCCTGAAATGACTTTCATCTGTCGGAGACATTCTGTTGTGATTTTAGGCTCTCAGATGACAAAGCTGAGAAGGCAGGTGGTCAAGTGCCTGCTCTCTTCTTCCGCAGGCACACACCTGCCCACTTCCCTTGGCCCTCTGCGGCTGCTGCTTGCACTATCCCCGCTGCCTCCGTGGCCTGGCCTGCCCCACTGTCAAGCTAAACCCCGTGGGGTGGGGGTGCTTGGCCAGATCTCCTTAAGAGTCCCAAACCATTTTATGCTTGAGATGGACACCCGGGAGCCTGAAGTACCTCAGAGCTCTACTTCTGTACTCAAGGAACCTGCTCCAAACCCGAGTTACAACCGAGCAGTCTGCAAGCACCCAGAAAAACAAACCCCACCCAGCTCACTGCACAGTGCTTGAGAAAAACAACTGAGAAAAGACAAGGGCTGACAAAGGAAAGGGAGAATAAATTGCCAGGAGAGGAGGAGAGGCTCAGAGCAGCATGAGGCAGAGGAGGAGCGTTGGAAAACATGATTGCCCATCCAGACTGCACAGCTGATAAGTGTGATCATTAATGGCAATTTAAATCAATTGCACTGATAATTTTAAAAAAATACATATTTATGTGGCTTTTAAGGAAAAAAGATTTTCTTTAACCTGGGCACAAGCACACCATGGAAGTATTCTGTCCTCTGTGAGTAGCTTACCCAGGGTTTGGGGCCAGAAAACAGGGCCAGCTGGTCCACCTGTCTTCATCCTAGACACGGCGGCCTAGGCGTGTCTCTATCCACATCTGGGGCTCGCACACACCTTACACACCAGCCCTCACTTGATCACTTTTACTGTCCCCAATTATGGACTGGAGAATAACAAGTCTATAAAGCTTTAGAGAAAATCCAAATCAAGGAGTGTTTCTCATCAACTCCAAGAGTGCTAATCAGCAGCTGCAAAGATTTAAAAAAAATTTTTTTTTTAAAGAATTTTTCCCTTTTCCTCTCCCTCTTTCAGGAACAAGAGAGGTTGGTCCGGCCACATACACCCGGCCACCTAGCAAGGACAGACTCGCAAAGTCCCACACACAAGGTCTGTGTGGACCTCATGGCTCCAGCCTGCCCAAGCACCTTGCTTACCTTTATGTCTGGCAAAATAGCGGCCCAGGATGATGAGCAAGCACAGCATGGCGAACACCACCACGGCCACAACGCCCCCAATCACGGCATGATCCACCGCCCTGATCGCACCCTCTTCACCTGCTCGAGAATCTGTTGAGATCAGAAGAGGAACAGGGATGTAGAGCTTATGACAAGACACCAGAGACCCAGGAGACACTGCCCCCTGGGTCAGAAGGGCATCTTTTTGTTGTTGTTGGTTTTTTGTTGTTTTGGGTTTTTTTGTTTTGTTTGTTCTGGTTTTTAATGGAGGAGTCAGAGAGAACAATTGAGATGGCCCAAGTGACACTGAGGGAACAGATGTCCAGTGCTGAATTCATCTGTTCTCCCCATAAGGCAATTTCATTCAGGATAGGAGCTAATGCATGTGGAAGAAGCTTATGGAGGGAGGGAGAAAAAAGGGAGGGAGAGGAGAGGAGAGGAGAAATGGAGTCTACCAGGTCCTGACCTAGGCTAAGTGGTCACTCTCTCTGGGACCAGGTGTGGATCCTAATTAAAGAAGCCAACCTAACTATTTTAGGGTGCTCCAAATGGCACCTTTCCGCTATCACAGGAATGGCAGAGGGGAGGACAGAGTTATCTTTCTACAAAACGAAAACCACTTGTTCACGGATAGGAATATGCATGGTTTCAAAAAGCGAGGTGCTTAAAAGCCACGGCTGCCTTAGAGATAAAATGAGGATTATAAGACTAGGGACAAGTGGTGTACTAGCTACATTTAGGATGTATGAGGGCATAAGCCTCAATTTAAAACCTAAAACCTATTACAAAAAAAAAAAGACAGCAAGGAATAATTGTCTATTGCCACAAATGGCTTTTCTTTTTATTTATTTAACACCCCCCGGTGCAATTAATTTTCCTTTATAAGCATCACCCCCTCCGGATGTCTTTTTCCGACTGAGGAACGACGTGTTTGGCTGGGGAGGCAACTTCAAAATGAACTCCAAATGAGCGATAGCAATGCAGGCGATGGATGTATGGCAGTGTAAACAATTTTAATTTAGGAATGTGGCTACATCACCCTTTGCTGAGATCCTAATGGCACCCGAGATTTATAATGTAGTAAAAAACAATTATTCTCCCGTTGATTAATACATTAACATTTTGGAGTGGAAGCTAAACCATTGTCTTCTCTTTTTTTTTTTATTGAGTCAAGTACGACACCTCCATTAAAATGATTTACTAGCTGTACCTTACAATTTAAGCACAGCGGCAACAGAAACGGTAAAAATCTTTTAACTTTACATGATTTGTGAAGTCATATGTGAAGGATTTACCATTTAAATCTTTCAGTACAAGAAGCACATGGCCTATAAATCTGTCCCCTTCGCAGTTGCTGGACGCCTAAGAGAAATGCATTTCACCAGGAAGACTGAGAGTGCAAATTCAAGTCAATTTCTAAGAAAGATTTATCTCTGTCTCTCTCCAAAGAACAGAGCAAATCTCTGAAGCCTCCACCTCTAATAATATTTGAAGTTTATCGATCAAGCGTACAGATCCGTGACAGCTAAAGGTAATGGTGCTCTTTTGAGCCGAAACCTGATACAACGCTTTCAGCAGGAGAGCATGATTTACACTTTCTATCGATATTTCCAATTCTGCTCGGAGATTAAGTACTGGAGGATGTGGGGGAAATAACTCGTGACTGAGGGTTGCATGAAAAGTGCTTTAATTAAAAAAAATCCAAATTAAAAAAAATACAAAGTATTTAAAAGTGTTTCATGAAGTTAGAAGAAAGAAAGAAAGAAAGAAAAACAAACAACCCAAACCCTAAACCCTAACAGAAATGCAAAATCAGAGGCAGTGGCGGCGGCAGCAGTCCGCCCAGGACAACAGGATGATGGAGGTTTAATTGGAGGCTGGAGGCAGAGCACGGCAGCCAATTAGATGTGCGAGCCCCTCCAGCAACATGTCTAATAAGCTGCACTTGAAACGTGAACCTGGCGGGCAGGGATCTCCCTCCTCGACCCAAGTGCTGCGGCTGCAGACTCCGCTGGCTTGCAAGTCATTTCAACAAGGCACAACTTGCCATGGATATTTTAAAAAAATTTTTCTTTTAGAGACAACAGAGCTGGCTGACAAGGAGCACTCTCCTTGGGGTGCTGCTGGAGGAGAGTGGATACAAAAGTGCTCATGGGGGCAGGGGGAAAAAGCAACAGGCATTGTGTTCCTTAGGGTGCTTTCAAAACAGGGGTTTCCTCCTGGCTATGAGGATTAACTAATTCCCAAGTGCCGCAGACTGCAGACCTACTGATTTTGTCTTTCAAGGGAACCCCATGTCTTAGAATTTGGAAGGGCAAAGCAACATGATATAGATCAAATGACAGAAGCCTCTCTCTCTCTCTCTCTCTCTCTGGCCAGCCCTGGGGCTTGAACTCAGGTTCTGGGCGCTGTCCTTGAGCTTCTTTTGCTCAAGGCTAGCACTCTACTACTTGAGCCACAGTGCCATTTCTGACTTGTTCTGTTTATGTGGTACTGCGGAAATGAAGCCAGGGCTTTATGCATGCGAGGCAAGCACTCCATCACTAAGCCACATTCGCAGCCTGAGGGCAGAAGTTTGGAGAAGCTGTCCAGAGCACAGCGCTCAGCCACTTAGGGGTTGGCCACTCTCTTTGTCCACTGTTAAGATGGCTTCCTCTGTGTGTAGTCATAGGAATACTCTAAAAGCCTCAGAGGGAACCAGAGAGAGGGAGAGTGTCCTAGGTATGTGAACTTTGGGGTAAAGGAAAACAAACAAAAACCCCAACCCTCTCAAAGCAAGCAAACAAACAAAAGACTCACAGGGCATGTGTCCTAAGAGATTTTCTTGGGCCCAAACCATTCATTTGACTTTTGCTCCCTATGAACTCAGAGCTGTATTTTTCCCCCAGTGGTGCTATTTCCCCCTGCACTTAGCCCAGATTAAATTATAGTTATCTACATTCTAATTATCTTCCCCTCCCTCAAGGACATACGTTCCTCACCGATACTTATTTATAAGTGTAATCTCTCTAGCTATCGCCCGATACTCACTTTGATCGGAAAGTTTAGTACCACCAGTTAATCACCGAGACATTTTTCCTGCCTTCAATTACTGCAGATGGACACAGAAGGTAACTGCTGTTTAATTTACAGGGAACACTGTCGATGACTGCCTCTGCCCACCCCATTCCCACCGCCCGAGTTGACCGTGGGAGGTAGCAATCGAGCTGTGCCTGCTCCTAAGTGCCCGGCCTGGTCTGACTCCTCCTGCTTCTCCATGAGGAGTGGGAGGGGGGCACCAATGGAAGGTGGTAGTGGTGATACTGGTCGTCTACTACTGGGTAAGAATGGACTGCTGCCTCATGCTTTATAGGCAGCAACAGCATGAGATGCCACAGGAAAGCCCTGGGCTGCAAGAGGATGAGAACTGGAGAAATAGGGACCATCAAAAGGACATTGTCTCTGGCAAAGTCCATCAGCCTCTCAACACGGCTTCTATGTAAAAGGTCAGGCTTTCATCCTCTGCTGAAGGTCTTGCTCCTCCTAAGAAGCAGATCTTTTCATGACATCTCTTTCAATTTCAGATTTTCGGGGTTCATCCTCGCCAGAGTTCTGGTTCTCTGAGTCAGACAGACGGGGAAGGCAGAAGCAGACATGATAGCTTCTCAACTACAAAGTGAACTGGGGGTGTAGAGCGTTTAGATATAAACACGCCTGGTCCTGGGGCCATGGGCAGCTCTTTGGTTTAGAAGGTCTGGTTTTCTTGTTCCCTAAACTGTCATAGCTGTTCCCAATAAGAAGGTTCAAGAGTGTTTCTATTCTAGGACCAAAGTGCTTCCGTCATCCTGGAAAAGAAAGCCAGGCTTCTGCTTAGTAATGTGAACAGGTTATTCCAGCCTTGAAGAACCAAGTAAGCTCAGGCCACACCATGCCCGTGGAGTTCATCTCCGGGTGGTGCACATGGGACTTCCAGCTAATCAGGCCAAGGGCTTGGGCTGACTTGGGGAAAAAATGCAAAAAATTCTGGGAGGTTCCCCCAACTGAGTTGTTGCTGTCCCCTCCCTGTCTGTCAGTCTGTCTGTCCCGTCCTGTAGCCACTTCTACAGAACTCTGAGTCACAGATCTACCACCCACTGTTTAGCATTCGGGAGTTGGCTTTTCTTTTGGCAAAAAGCTGAAACTTGGCTGCAGGTGAAGAGTTTATGAGCTGCTTGCAGAATGTTAAGCTGGGTACTAAATGTTTGGGTCAGAGTTTGAACCACCTTGGGCAAGGCTTTAGCATCTTAGGAATTGCAGAACAGAAAGAAAAAGGAAAAAACTTCAAGAAATTCCCAAGGGGGATGCCCCAAACTGCCCAGTCTAATGCACTTTGGGCCAGCGACCTCCTCCAATCCACCCTCCGCACAGGCAACAGGAATCGGGAAAGTTCTGTCGGCAGCAGTTCTCTTCCCTAGGGAGGGGGGCGGGTCTGGTGATTGCTGTGGGAACCAGACCTCACCCCCAAACTGCAGGGTCTCCCCCCCCTCCTCCTGGGACTCCTTTCTCTACTTCAACCACTTGCCAGAGTCATCTTTAATGCCCAACTCCAGCAGCAATGCCGCCTGCGCTAATCGGGGCTCCGCGAGGGAGCTGGGTTTCTATAGCTACATTACCACCTGGCATGGGATGTGTAACACGAACTGCCAAGTGAATGCCATAATTGTGGATCTCTGATAAGCCTAGAAGGCTCAGTTGCCAAAGCAGGGATCCGTGGGCCAGCAGGGAATGGCTAGTATATTCTCAACAAGATCCTGGTAAGGAGGGATTTTGGTAGAGGGTCTTGGTAAACAGAACCCATGACTGCAGCCCGCACACCCTGAAGCCTGGGGCTGCAGGGCCCAAGGTCATCCTCTGGCCAGAAGGACACCAAATAGTCTGCCTATAAGGTGGGGTTATATGGTACTATCAATATAATATGTACCTCCGGCTCCCCTAGCGCAGGCTCTAAGGTAGGTTTAGCAAGCTTGGGGCAGGCTCTACCTCCTCCTGCGTGTACTTAACTGGCACTCAGAGGTCATATTTAGAACATGGAAGATTCTAGTCCCCCTGCCCCTATTTATTGGACCACTCAGATCCTCCACGTCCCCCTAGCC